GACGGCTTTGCTGCACTCTGATGGGGGCCCCTGTCGGCAGTCTGTGCATGCTGACGGCGGACCTGGTGCATTCTGACGGCGGCCCTATCGGCAGTTTTCGTAGTCTGGCGGCGACCAGATGTAGTCTAACGGCGGCTCCGCAATACTCTGATGGCAGCCTTATCGGCAGTCTGTGCAGTCTGGTGACGGCTCCGCTGCAGTCTGACGGCGTCTCCGCTGCAGTCTGACGGCGTCTCTGCTGCAGTCTGACGGCGGACCTGCTGCAGCCTGACGGCGCCCTATCTAAAGTCTGTGTAGTCTGACGGCGGATCTGCTGCAGTCTGACGGCGGATCTGCTGCAGTTCGGCGGCGCGACTCTGCCGGCAGTTCTCTAGCGGAAGTGACGGTTCGGGCTATTGCAGGCTCAGATCCAGCTTCTTTGCGTAGCGCGGAAAGCGAGTGGTGCTGGTGTAGCGTCTGCCGCGCCGCGTCTTCGCGGTATTGTGGTGCACTTTCAACAGCGCGCGGCACCAGTCTGGCCATCGCAGGGGGAAGGGGAAGGGGCCCAGGAACACACTGAAACGGCGGATTCATAAGCCGCTAGGTGAGTCACAGAGGATTCGTGAACTGATAGGCCGAGCGCGGAGGGGTCGCACCAGTGTTGACTGGGGGACTACAGTTCCCAGGAGCCTTGCGTTGTCTTGCCAAGCGGCCGGTAGGAACGTTGCCGTTTTGTCATTCGACTTCATCGACTAATTTATTCACGTATTCTTCCAAAAAATGGTCTTATTCCTATCTCTATGCCCTCCCATAAAACACAAGGGGAGTCCACCAAAGCACCGGAGCAGGCCCGCCAATACGCGAACCTAGCGACGCCGCTGCTGAGGCGCCTCCTGGAAGGGATTAGAGAACGTCGCCGCCGCCAATTCCAGGACGTTCAGCTTGTCGCATGGGCTGGTTTGTTTTCATAGTGACCGTCGGCAGAAGGCACACGTTCTCGGTATTGGGGCCTCCTGACCGGGGCATTAAATCTATGTTTTAGTCTGGCAGACGGCCTGTAAGAGACAAATGCTTCCGCATTTTCAACGCACCCATGTGCGTGTCAAACTGAGCTTTGTTGAACACGTTGGGCTGGGTACGTAAAGCATTTCACAGCTCTCAAATGTTGTTTTCAGGTGACTCTATGTTGTCGGAGGCAAAAAGGCAAAAAAAGGAGACAACACGAAGAGTAAACACAACTCAAGAGTTCAAAATAATTCCGAACACTGTCCGCGTTTCGTTGGCACGCTAGCGTGAGGCAAGGTTGTGTTCAGGAAAGCACTTCCACGCGCAATTGGACATTCCTTCTGGTCATGAGATTTTACAGCATATTACACCAAACGTACACATGCAACATGTGGATGGCGAGGGGTAATGTGTGATAACGGCATCCTCATGGTTTGATCATGATTTAAGTTATAGGAGTTGAGTTCACGGCGGCAACCTCAGAACTACACACGCACGAGTTTTCCGCAGTGAAGATCTTTGTACTTTGTTTTCCTTTCATTACTTCCGGGAGGCGGATGTTCCAGCTAGATGAATCCAGCCGTATCTTTCCCCGTGGCAGCGTGTTTTTGTCTCCGTCTCGCGATGACCACTCGACGATGCTCTTACGGCAAGGCTCTTACAGGACCACAAAGTGAGGCAGGGACGGCAGGGTAAGGGCAGAGGGTGCAGTTTCCTCCCCCTCTAAAAAATAAGAGGCCCCTTTTCCCAACTAGAGGCGTTCTGGCTACGCGTAGAATTCCAAAAATGCAGATAGGGAAGGCCCCGAAAACTGAACCAGAGAATACAAAATCGGGCTCAGAAGACCCTTTGCTTCATCAACAGACCCTCTCCGGAGTCCTGAGGTAACTTTTATAGATGAGGTAGCCAGTGCTCTAGACCAAGAGGCTCAGTGCTGCCTTAAGGAGGCTCCCTGGCTGATTCGGGAGGCCCCGTTATAACCTAGAAGGTCTCTGTTCCCGTTTAGGAGGCACCCCCTATATTCAGGAGGTCCCGTTTCTGGAATAGGTCATTTTCATGCATCTGATGGCCATAGTTCCGGATCAGGGTCAGGTTTCGAGATAGCGAGGCCTGTTGGCTAGCTTTGGGGGCCCCTTCGTAAATCGCATGCGTTCTGTTCTGAACTAGGAGGCCCCTCTTTGCATCAGGAGGTCTTTTTCTGGAATAGCAGGCCCTGTTTTAGGCTAGTGATACCCTTTGCTGGATAATCAGAAAGCCCCATGCTGGATTTCTTTCTTAGCTGGTGACACCTGTTCACTTGGACATGATGCAGGTCACAGTTTGATTAGGGGGCACATGCTGTCGGTACCCCTTCCCTTGAATACTATACCCCTGCGAGGAGGCCCCATTTTGTCCAAGAGGCCACCTAAAAACCCTGCCCCCAAAACAGAACCTGTGGCGTCGCCCTCAAAGTACCGACAATTTCCTTGACCCTCCCCCAGGCCTCCTGCCATATCACCAGATGTCGTGGCCGACCCCTGCACCTGCTCCGTCACCTGGCGATCAGGCGGAGTTGTTTTGATGTTGAGTCGTAATCGCTTTAGGGCTATCTGACCGCCACCACCCCGCAATCACACGTTATCGTGTTCCTAAATCGAAAGCCGCTATAAAGCCATCATGGTCAGTCACATCGACACGTTGGAAGGTTCCTGAAACCTTTACTGTTTAAACCGGATCTTTCGGTTAAATGCCGGTTTCGGACTGGATGCCTTTAACCGGATGCTTAAACCAGTGTCTATATTAAGCTGAAGATGGCATGTTTTTCGTCTGAGCTCGCCGGCGTTTCCCTGCAAAGTTCAACGGCCCTGTGCTCGTCTTGCGCCCATGAAAAGTCAGTGTATACGTCCACGAATCGTTTTTGATCTGTCTTTTTCACAGGGGCATCATCTTGACGCTGTAATAAGTTTGCGAAACTTTTACCTAAGCGTGAGCCCTGGGGCAAGCGAGTACGCGGAAGAGTACTTCACTTGTGACAGTAGTTTACTCCATAACGTTACGGTCTTGGAAAAAGGAGAACGGTAGCATTATTTCATTTGTTCGCGATTTGCTGCAAAAACTGTCTTTCTGATTCAGCTGGGAAATTCCTCCCTATTCTAGTAAGAAAAATAAGCTCTTAATAAACCCAATTACTTTATGGAAATGCTTTTGCGCGCGACAAAAATAGACCGGACAGAAGGACAGGCTCACCATGAATCTTGGGCTCAGAGCGATTCGTTTAAGGCAGACAACACAAAAGCCCGTATATTACCCTACCTCACTATTACGGGAACCGCGTCGCAGAAAGTTCTGATTATCGGCTGCTGATCAAACAAGTGCCACGTGCAAGAAGAGGTCTGCAGATGGTGAAGACAATATACGTATGCATGACTCTTAACTTGAGGATGTCCCAAATATGAGCCGCAAAGTTTACTTGGCAAGACATGATTAACAACCGTTATTCAAAGTTTGGAAACGAGCGATGCGTGAACCCACAGTCGGGTAGCATCTCGGAACACGGACAGGCGGGATATTCCAAATTTGGGGTCGGCTCGGAAGCATCCCTCTCTACTACACCATCGTGCATCCATGCCTGGTTTTGGCATCCAGGAAGCGCCTCAAGTGTTCATTGGGAATCTAGTCCCCAGGTGCAAGGGGACTCCAGGGGACTGCGAGCACTCAAACAGGGCTTTTGTTGGTATGCATGGTTATATCCATGGGTCCATCAAGGTCCTCGTTTCAGAATATGAATATGGGTCCTCAGAGACTTAGCAATATCGAGCGACCCAGTTGCAATGGATTTATGGTTTTACGTCGTAACGGCCGTGTGGCGGTACCTGAAAGTGGTTTTACAACCGCTGTTACGAGGCACTTCGGGCTATGGTGGGTGCCAGAGCATGACAGAGCAGGGTTACACACCTGACACCGGGTGTCAGGTTTTGGAGCAAAACATCACAGGACAAAAAGCTTGCATGCATCTGAGCTTCCGCAATTGGGCGCGATGAAGGTGTTGGATGACTAAAAAGGCCATTTCAATTGAGTCGCACTTCAATCTATGGAACGATCGACTAAGTTAGCCGAAAGGATAAGCAGAGGGCATTACGTTATGGAGGGCTTTGCATTGCATTGCGTCACAGTTACATACAGCTTCACATACTGCACTAACATCCCAAGAGTGAGGTACCGCACCCAGCACTCACGCTTACAGCATTAACGAGCCAAGAGTGAGGCATCGCTACATACAGCTTCACACACTGCACTCACATCCCAAGAGTGAGGTACCGCACCCAGCACTCACGCTTACAGCACTAACGAGCCAAGAGTGAGGCATCGCACCCGGCACAGTTTAAAGTCTTGGGTTGAAGGAATGTTTGGCAAACTACACGAAGTCAGACGACCCTTCGTGTCCTCCGTAAGTTCATTTCAAAGTACGCCATAGCGTGTCTAATGCACCCACAAAACGGCACGGGCGCGGTAGATCGTGAACGGCACCAGTACAATCGTGGACGTGATGACGTCTCGGAGCTGGCGCAGAAGAGGATTGATGACCGGTTCGACGTGACTTCCGTGCAGTCTGACCTCGCGCACCAGCATTGTAGCCCCATTGACATCCCCGTGGATTCTGAAGATTCATTTTACTCTGCTTAATCATTTACATCATCGTTAGTGAGAAAGCTTTGGTCAGTAGCGTTAAAAAATGGATGAGGCACTTCAAAGACAGTCCTGGCCTCGGCCGTGCGGTACTCGAGCCCACCCTGCCGTAGCCCTAAAAGTCGCATGGGAATCACCTCGATGGCGTAAAATAGCATCTCATTCTGACCACGTGTAGGGCATTCCTCGACCGAACAGGGCCACATGTTGCCGGCCCTGGCCCGGATGCCGGCCTGATGTGCCCGGACCGACCGGTGACGTCACAGGTCGCTGGCGTTTGACACGGCCGGCGTTGCTATAAATGCGCCCCAGGTTACTGGCAGTCGGTGGCCGGAGACTGGCCAGTTGGGTGTGGCGCCGACGGCGGGTCGCGCTCCGTCGAAGACGTCCAGGCAGCGTGCAGGGAGCGTGCGCGGAACCCTCCAGGGAGCGATCAAAGTGCGTCCAGGGAGAGTTCAGTCCGCCTCCAGGGAGCATTCGGAGTGTGCCCCGAGGAAGCAGCCCCGGCTGCCTGACAGCAGACTATGGCGGACCGCGTGTTCCCGACGCCGCCGCCGCGTCGCAAGAACTCGGCTGATCATGCGGCGACGCCGCCGCAACCGCGGCGGCCGCCGAAGCTGGACGTGGTGGCTGCGTCTTCGCCGCCGCCCGGCCGCCGAGCTGACCTGGAGGCCGGCCACCGTCAGCCCGGGCCGGCTCAGGCCGAGCCCTGGGGCCTCACCATGCCCGCCGTGCTTTCCAGCATGGACAAGACCAAGGTGGCCTCCTACCTGCAAAGTCGCATGAAGGACGTGAAGGACGGCGCCTTTCAGACGGCAAAAAGCAGCCTCAGCTTCGGCGAGCGCTTCACGCTGGCCGTGCTGGACAAGATGAAGCGGTGGTCGCGACGCGGCTTCACCCACATCTTCCTCTTCGCCGTGCTCATGTTGTACAACGCGATCGGCGCCTGTGTGATGATGATCCTGGAAAAGCCGGCGTCCGGGCAGCACAGGGACCTAAATCAGCTGAAGCTGGACGTGGTAGAGCGTCTGCTGAACAGAACAGATCCCGAGGCGGTCGTAAACGCGACGGAGTTCCGGCTGGAGGTGCAGAGTGAGATCGATGCCCTCCTCGAGACGTCTTTTGAGCAGTTTAACCTGTTGCGCTGGCACCCGGACCCGGATGACAACCCGTGGGGCTTCTGGGGATCCATGTTCTTCTGTTTCACCATTCATTCGACCATTGGTGAGTACGATGCCATGCTACTGATCACCTGTTGGGAGTTCCAGGAGCTACAAATGCATTTATAAGCAAAGTTTCCGTCTCACAGATGTGTGGGCTGTACTCGTTATTTTGCGTATTCGTTAGGCAGGGGTGACAATTGTTCGCGAAGCTGCGATGAACGATAAGCTTTTAGGACAGGTAGGTGCAAGGTTGGGCTCGCTTCGCTCAGCATGGTGTGATTATGTTTCAGCATCAAAGCTCACACGCCCCGACTGATTGGCATGTTCTTATTTTTGCACGCGAAACCACAGACAGAGTACCTGTGGTGAGAGGCGGTCTGTAGGTCGGCATGGAAATTATGACACGTTGTTCCAATTTGCACGCCAGTTTGTAAGGTGGTGGCACGATAGTCGTAATAGTGCAATATTTTTACATTGAGTTAAACGTGGCTGAGTTCATCACCACTGCCATCTTGTGCGCCTGTTGATCGTTGGGAATCCTCACGGGTCGACATTTCATGCGGCATACTGGGTGAAGCGTATGTGAAGGGACCGTCGGATCAGGCATGCAGTCTGCTGTCGCGGTATTGGCTCTCCTAGATACCGACAGCGGTGGTGAATCATGTCAGCCATTATAAGACGAACGCTTCGCGCACCGTTTCGTTCCACGCGGCGTCATAGGCTAATTACAATTTTCCGAAATATGGGAGCAGTTGTTTATGATTTTACCGTCTCTCGTCATTGCGCAAGCCAATGCTTGTGCGGATTACGTTGCCAGAATGGGTCATGTGGCGGAAAGGAGATTTTCATTGGCTTTCCGCTTTGCATGGGCTTTCCCATGCCAGGATTCGCACGGGCAGATGGACTGGAAGTAAAGAGCACGCTGCTCCCAGGGCTATTGCTCCGGCATTCATTTTGGCTCAGTCGGGGCTCAGTGTGGTGCGTCATTTTTGCGGCCCAGATGCCAGGCTGACGGCAAGCGTGAGTGATACGCAGGTATTTCAAGCCTCTCGCCACATTCCCGCGGTGGCGCGCTTACCTTTGACCTTTGTGTCTAAAGTGAGTTCGTGACGAGCCGGGAGGCCACGTCGCGGAGTCCATTCATTTGACCCACCACTGCAGCGTTGCCGCTGGCCACCGCTCAACGGCACGATGGGCGTCACGCGCATCTCTCGCCCCCAGTCTCCCAGGCGCGGCTCCCGATGGAGCGTTTGGTGGTCTCCGCCAGCTCTCATGCCGTCCAAGCTTCTAAGCTTCCGTGTGCCAATGCCGAAATCCAATCAGTTTTGACCCGCGACGCTCAGCTAACAGCTGAGTTTTTGGCGACCGCAGGCCAATACGTCAGCGATATTGCGACACAGCACTTGCAGCGCATGGACGTTTTGAAAGCCAAGTTGCACGGTTCTTTGTTCGTCAGGACCTTGAATGGTCATAAAGCCACTCTACCATGCCAATTAATTCCGTTGAGCTGGCATTAGAAACTTTGCGTCAGCTGCTTCAAACAGGACATCGTGCCGTCAATGTGCAAAAAACAATGTGTCGTTTTGAACACAGCTGATATGGCCGGAAGACGGACGCTCCCCACGGGTCGTCGCTGCCGCCAGTGGGTGTCGCTCCCTGTTCACACACGCTGTTCACGCGTTTGAATCGGGTGTGCCGTCTAGTCCCGCGGCGTCTGGCGCGGCCTCTCCTCAAGTCACTGGTGCTGGGAGGCAGCTGCAGCGCGCCGCGAAGGGAGGGGCGTCACCGGTGAGGAGGAGAACACGGGAGGCCGTGGAGAGGAGAAGGGCCTCGATGTCTGACTGACTGGTGGCAACCAAAGGGGAGGTCACCCACAGGTGGCCACGCGGGCGGTGGGATGAGTGTCCACTGCGCTGTCGAGGGGTCGAATCTACTGGACAACCCTTCGACCGTGCGAGAAAGAACCGTGCTCCGGTGGCTCATGTAGACAGGGGACGTTACGGGCACCATGAGCCCACCTGAGCCCGCACTGATAAATCCCGCACGCGGCTCGTCGAGGCGGGCGAGAGCAATCTGGCGCACCCCGCCGGCCCGTCTATGAAGCGGGTCCGGCTACCGGTGCCGCTCTGAATATGCTTCATCGACGCGTCTAACCCCCCTGGCGTGATCAAGATATGCGACACGTCGGACTTGGGACGCCTCAGCGAGCGCCCGCGGCCGACGGGGTGAGCGCGATATGACGGGTCGGCCGCCGGAGTCAGCCGGGCACGCGCCGCCAGAACAAACAGCAGAGCCGGGGCTCGCGACGGGCGGGCGACTCAAATGGGCCGCGGCCGCCCCGCTGAGTCAGCGCCACCGCGTGCTGCCCGGCCCGCCCTCATCAGCGGTGCACGCGTCAGCCGTCACCTGACCCCGATTAGAAGCTCAGGCCGCGGCGGTGGCGCCAGCTAGGTCGCCGGCCGTCCAGCGGCGCGACTGAGGCGCCAGCTGTGATGCGCCCTCGTCGGCTGAGGCGGATTGCCCGGCGTCACCTGAGGCAGAGTGTCCGGCGTACACCTGAGGCAGAGTGTCCGTCGTCATCTGAGGCGGAGTGTCCGGCGTCCAGGCTGAGGCGGACTGTCCGGCGTCGGCTAAGGCGGAGTGCCCGGCGTCACCTGAGGCAGAGTGTCCGGCGTCATCTGAGGCGGAGTGTCCGCGCCGGCTGAGGCGGACTGTCCGGCGTCGGCTAAGGCGGAGTGCCCGGCGTCACCTGAGGCGGATTGCCCGGCGTCGGCTGAGGCGGAGTGTCCGGCGTCGGCTGAGGCGGAGTGTCCGGCGTCGGCTGAGGCGGAGTGTCCGGCTTTGGCTGAGGCGGATTGCCCTTATGTCTTGTGCCCTTGGCGATATGTCTGGCATCTTCCGAAGCGCCAGAGGTGTCCAGGATCGATAGGTATGTTTGCTGTGAGGAAAAATTTTCCAAACCTCTAAAATGACCATTGCTTTCAGATGCGTGTGACTGTCTATTAAGAAGACGGAACAAGTATCACTCACACTTCCACCAAAATCATTGAGTGCAAAACACCCTTCCTCGTGTCGCCCGAGCCCTCGCGCCTGCCAAAAAAAACTACCAGTCAGCTCTCTCCCATGAATGCAGACGCACGCGGAAAACGGCTCATAAGACAACCCAGGGCGGCTGCCAATGAGATCAGAGGATTGGCTAACACAGTCCCCTTTCATGCGTTCCCTTTTGCCCCTGTCAGATCTGCAAGGCCTCACCGTCGACCGATACCGGGAATTAAGTAGGAGGACGTTTCCCGCGGCGAGGAAAGGGAATTCGTCGACGGGATGACTTGAGCTGGCGTCAAGGCGCCATTCTCAGTCCCATCCGAAGGTCTTTGATCAGGGATGGATATGAAAATAGCATAGCGCGGTTTGTGCAGTCTTCACCCGCAACTGTGCTCAAGAGGTCGTGGCTTTGAGCACTGCAATGCCCCTCGTGATTCATCACGTGCTGCTACAACTGACACTAGATACCTCAATGCCCTGCATAGGGGTGTCGTTTTCCGAACTCGTTTTAGGGCTGAGCTGACAGTAAGGTTGGCCGAAAAGGGGATGCTTCACACCTGTGGGAGTTTTTTGAACTGAAATAGCCATCTCAAAGATCACTTGGTGCAGTTCACAGCTCTGCCTTTCTCAAGATCTAAACCCCTTTAGTTTCTGAGCTAAACGCCCACGAAGATAGGCTGACTATTTCGGGCAGACCATTTCAATATGAAGCAAGCGTCCATGACGTCATAGTAACGTCATTCAAATCATGACATTTATTCAGCTATTCGGCGAGAGAGAGAGAGAGAGAGAGGAGAGAGAGAGGAGAGAGGAGAGAGAGAGAGAGAGAGGAGGAGATGGAGAGAGAGATGAGAGAGGGAGAGAGACGAGAGGAGAGAGAGACGAGACGAGAGAGAGGGGAAGAAGAGGGGAGAGAGAGAGATGGAGATGAGAAGTCACGAAAACAAAGCATTTAGCGGGTAAGAAGTGCCCGAACTAAAACTTGCGTTTGCTGGGAAAGCAATATGGATAGAACGCGTCGTGCGCTAACTGCCCACAACAGATGTCGGCATCTAACACGCATTCTGCATTTGAAGAGATTAAACAAACATCGGATATGGTGTAGTAATCTCACCTTTAAATTTGACACCTATTATTCTAGGAAGTGGGCAAGCAAAGAGGCGTAGTTACGCCAAATTAATTGGGAGAAGGGCTGAGCAACGAAAAATGAGTCAACCTACCAACAAAAAAAAAAAACGCACGAAAAACACCTCTCCAGATTCGAACTTCTCTCTTCTCGAAGCTGTGGGGCTGGAACCTATGTTGGGGTGGGAGGCAGGGGGCTGAGTGAGGCTCGGCAAAAATCCTTCCGAAGGTCTTCAAAATAAATTCGTAACGTTTGAAGATAAGACTGTGGCGTATTTTTCAAAAATAATTTTGAGGCTGTCCTCGGCACAGATTAACAATAAAAGCACCACAAAAATATAGATTGTCCCTTTAATCTGCCAGTCCCTTCACCCGGTTCCAGCCTCACTTCATGGTGCTGTAAAATTTTGTTCGTTCTTATCAGTCTAAAAATCGCTCAGGTGAAATATGTGACAACTGGGGTACCTTCTATATGTGCGAATTGTTGTCCTAAAAGGCTCAAATGTATTGTTTTAGATGTGTGATAATTTTCGTCTGCCCGTTGGTCACCGCTAGAATCAGCTGCGAGGTCGGGGCGGGGCCAACGCCGCGCGGCTTATGAAGACTGCAGCACCGGGTGTGGAGGTTGTTTTTTGCAAGGATTTGCGAACGCACATGTTCAAAGCTACATTAAATAATTTTTCTCACTCACCGAATCTGGCTGAATGTTGAGCATGTTGTCGGCAACTGCGATTTGCCGCATACAGGCTCGCTGTTTTATGTGCCAATGTTTTTCCAATGAATCAACGAATGGCTCGGTCACGCGAATGTTTTTTACCCAAGGCTGCAAATGTTTTAAATGCATCCACACTTACTGGTGTCTTTCCACTGTAAAAATAGCATGCCGATACT